CTTGTTTTAAGGGTAAAAATCATATTATTTACCTGCTCAATTTAAGGGTAAATACATTTGATTTTACAAATTCTTACTCATTTAAGATCATTTTTGAAGTGCAGGATTAGATTATGAAAGAATCTCCCACATAAAAATAAAAGGATCAAACTGTGGGTTAGATTCCAGATTCCTGCCCCAGTGGTGAAACAAAGGGTGGCAGCATCATGCTGTGGGAAGCCGCTGAAAGCAGATGGGATGATGGTTGGAAATAAATACAGGAAAAGTTCATATGCAGTAAAAGGTTTTGTCCACTTTTTATTTTTATTTTTGAAACCAAGAATCATTTTCCTTTTACTTCATAATAATGTTGCTCTTTGTTGTTTTACGACATAAAACCCTAAAAAGATGCCTCAAAGTTTGTGGTTTTATCTTTTTCAGGGAAAAGTCAGAGCATGATGAATCTGTTCTGCTGCATCCTGTCCTTCTCCTGTCTCTCCCTTCACTCCCTGTCCTCCAGGCTCAGCCCGTCTACCGCAGTGTCTGCTCACTTCAAAGCAAGAGCCGCGTCTCTGTCTGAAGAAAGGCAGGAAGCGGGTGGGAGAGGACAGGCTTGGATCCAAAGCTGTAAACTGGTGCCAGCGGGGGAAAGATGGCCAGGACAGCAACCTGGAATATTTATCTTTCGTTTCCCAAACAATTAGGTAGAATTAAAAGAATCAGGAAGCTGATAGAAAGAAAAAAACTGCTTGGCAAGAGCAACAAGGACAAATGGAAGAGGTAAAAAAAGCAAAGCGTTGCCTGCAGGTTAACTGCAATGAACTTTTCACCCTAACCCTGTTTTCCTTTGCTGGGTCAGATGAGGAGACTGGAAGCCGCTAATTAGCTTAGCATAAAAATTTAAAAATGGTCTGTTTATTGTTGAAGTTTTAAAAATTTAGCTCTTCATACTTATTTTATCAATCTGTCTTTGAGTCACTTTGGTTTCTGTTTAGTTGTTAAAACATTTTAATAAATGCAGAACTGCAGAAAAGTGTTGCTGACAACAACAGCAGGACCAACTCTGACCTGTATGAGGTCAGAGATAGGCTGCCGCCGCCGTTGCAGAGCCACCGTTGCAGAGCCACCGCCGCTGCAGTGCCGCCACCGCCGCAGAGCCGCCGCTGCAGAGCCGCTGCCGCTGCAAAGCTGCCGCCGCTGCAGAGCAGCTGTTTTTGGCTTTCAAGAAAAAAATAAATTAGGATTAATCCAGCATTTAATGAGTCTATTGTGTTTCTGTCGGGGCGACTGTGGCGTTGGGTGTAGGAGTTTGCCCTGAAATCGAAGGGTTGACGGTTCAAGCCCTGGCTTCAGTCGTTGTGTGGCCAAGACACTTCACCTGCATTGTCTACTGATGGTGGTCAGAGGGCCTTGGTGGCGCCAGTGTACGGCAGCCCCGCTTCTGTCTGTGAGCCCCAGAGCAGCTGTGGCTACAATGTAGCCTGCCACCATCAGTGTGAGTGAATGAGTGAATAACTGAATGCTGTGTAAAGTCTCCTGACTTCAAAGCAGGAGCTAAAAAACAGAGTGAAGATGTGGTTGATGTCTTTTCATTGAAACCCCCTGAATATAAACCTGAATAATGACGAGGAAACACTTTCCTTATGGGTGAGGTGGGGGCCGAAGGACCACAGATTACAGTTTTATGTAAATGATTAAAAACTGAGTGCGTTTAATGATGTTCTGCCAACTTTAAACTGATTTTTTCTAATAACTGTAATCCAGCTGCAGCCGGTGATGTTGATATGGGTTATGTTTAATCAAACCCAGCAGGCCTGTTTTAGATACCTGCTGTGAGGTGGCGTCCCATAGGAGCCAAATCATACAGACGCTGGCTGGAACCATGGAGGAAGAGAAGGGGAAATATAGAGATTTGTTTAATTGCAAGGCAGCAAATAAAACATAGAAAAACACAGGCAGCTAATTAGCATTATCAACTTTTTTCACTTCTCTTTTTTTTATAATACATTTTTTATTTCTCTTTTTTTCCTGCAGTTGGTTTTATGCTACGCAACTGAAAATGAAACCCGTTTGCGTCACAAACCCGATCTGCACCGTCAGCTACATCAAGGTCATCCTCAATTTTACTTTGTAAAATAAGACTTAAAATAAGTGTTTCCCTCCCTAAAAATAGTTTGCGTACTAAACTATAATGTATTAAAGGTTAATAAAGTATTCCCTGACAAAATAAATGCATAAAAATCCTTTCTGTTTTATCACTCTGTTACTGATCTCTAAAGGAAATAGGATCCAACGCTACCTTTTTCAGATATGGATTTGAACATAAATCTAGTATTTTTAGTTTTATGTTTTCCTTTTGTGTTAACATTATGTATATAGTGCATAATCTAAAGAGAGAAACTACTAAAATGCAGATAAACATGGTTTAATTAGATTTTGCTGAACTGCTCTGAGCATGTCTGCTTATGACGTCAGAGAAGCTGTTTAACGGAGAAAATGTAAAAAGGATCAAAATTGTCTTTTTGTAAGATGTGTATTAGCATTCTTTAATAAGAACAGAAATAAGTACCTTTAGTAACATAATTACATTATTTATTGCGACCTGGATGAATATCTGCTTGGATCAGGTTTCAATTCAATTCAGTTTATTTCTATAACGCCAGTTAATGACACGTCATCTCAAGGCACTTTATAGTTCACCAGATCATCCAGTCAAATTGCTTCAAAGTTTTCTATCTAAGGAAAACCAGCTGATTGCATCGACTCATTGACTCTTCAGCAATCCCTCACACTAAGCATGCTTGTAGCGACAGTGGAGAGGAAAAACTGCCTTTGAACAGGAAGAAACCTCCAGCAGAACCAGGCTCAGTGTGAGCGGCCATCTGCTGAGGCCCACTGGGGTTCAAGGAGACAGAAGCAGACATAGAAAAAGAAGCATAGATACAAAAGGCAACTGTCAACCAGCTCCACAGGCGGCCCCGTCCAGGAAACACACAGCCAGGCAGACGAGCTCCGAGCCAGCTCCCATGTCAGAGGATGAAGAGAGCACATCCAGTTAGTCACAGTCAGAGAAACAGGACTACACTGGAAAACAGGCCAAGCTCCAACATCTAGAAACAAAGGTGTTGATGGCAGCAGCACAGCTGATATTTCTCTCCAGGATGGAGTCACAGCCAAACAGGAACAGACCAGATGAAGCTACTATGAGAAAAAGCAGAAAGAAAAGAACATGCACTCTGCAGAGAATAGAGATAGAATGAAGCAGAATGATGAAAAAGGGGTCCCTATGTCCTCCAGCAGTCTAAGCCTATAGCAGCAGAACTATAGAGATAGATCAGGATAACCTGAGCCGCTCTAACTAGAAGCTTTATCAAAAAGGAACGTTTTAAGCCTAGCCTTAAAAGTAGACAGGGTATTAACAGGTATGTGACAGAATGGCTTCAGAATCAGACGCCTCCAATGTTTCTTTCTCAGACCTACAGGTCAGACAATATGTTTAGCTTAATTTAAAGCTGTTCGTCAGCTTCCTTTGCAGCCATTAAACTTTCTTACAGTTTTAGTATTTCCAATTAAAAATAGGACATTGTTATAATTTAAACATTTTTGTGTCTTGTGTAAAAACAAACATTCAACATCAGATTAAATGCAATCATCCATCTTTTGTTTATTGAGTCTACAAACAGAATCACTCCTTTCTAAACTGAAACCTCCCCACCTGCACCTGATACTGGGCTTTCCAGCAACGCCTCCAGTCGGATGTCATCATGCACAAGCCCAGAGAACCGGTTTGAGCTGGTAGAGGGAGTATGGAGGCGAGCAGATTAGCAGACATCCACTCAGCTGATATGTGCGTGTGGAGCTAAGCCATCCTACACCCACAGGCTGACAGAAAACAGATAGAAAGCAGTTTTATTGAAGGCTGGAATGTTTGCCTATAAAGGGTGATTCTAGCTTTCCTGAGGGTGAAGAATCAGACAGCGACGGAGCAAAGCCTCCACACCACTAAGCCCTGTAATTCTACTTAACAGACTCTTATCACTGATGATTATTAGAGACTACGGTGCAAACAAGCTTTGCTCCACTCCAGCCTCCTGGAGCAGCCTGAGCCAAACTGGTTTGCGCCGGTTTGATGAGCCATACTGTAACTGTGGGGGAAGCCCAGTAAATATTAACCACATCCTGACATGAGTAACTCTGCCTGTTCTGGAACGGCAGGATTTCTGCGTCAGAACGAGGAAAACAGTCCACAGAAATTATCTGTTTTCTGTCTCAGAAACAACTCATGACTCAGCATTAAACCAGCCGCAGCAGCCCTGGTGACCCTAACGAGAAACCAGCAGGTCAGCTGCTGGTTGCCATGGTGATCTACAGTGTTTGCTGTCAGGGATTCCCTGTTTATAGGCATCCTGTAGACCAGGAGTCTGCAACATGTGGCTCTTTGGACCGTCTCCAGCGGCTAAAATTTATTTAAAAAGCTAAATAATGTAGTATAATAAATACCAGTATTAACAGCTTTTAATAAGTCGGAAAAGGATTAGAATAAAAGAACCAAAAACATGTTTTAAGAGACATTTTTTCTTTGAATTAGCTTGGAAATGATGTGTTTTAATATTATTTTAAAAGCTAAAAAATGCTGCATGAACTGTTGATTGTTTAAGATGATAATTCCTTATACAAGATTTAAAAAAAAGGGTATTTTTGTTATTTTTTGGCTCTTTGGGTATGAAAGGTTGCAGATGAAACCAGAAATACTGTGATTTTCAGTTTCCTTTTAATTGATGATTCATTATTAATTCCACTATTTAGTGTTTGAAAGATTTGGGCGTAAATCTGTTGGAGTTAATGTAAAATTTGACAGATTTTGACACTAATGAGTAAAATAAACTCAGTTTGCATAGAGTAAATTTTACAGTAATTTGGAGAGAAACCAAATGTTAAAATAAAGTTGTTTTGGTCTGAAGGCTGTGATGGTGTTAAAGGGTTAAATGGGGTTAAATGAGGACAGACAATCAGCTGTGGTACAAACATTTATTTTGTTTTTCAAAGGAATGTTACCAAAGTATAAAAGTTTGACATTGTGGCCACAGACCGGTGGCTTTCATACAGTGAAGCTGAGAGCAAAGAAAAGCTGTTTTCAGTCTTTCAGGTTCTTGGCACCATGAAGTGTCCCAGTGCGGCTGTGATGCTCCGCAGCATCCGCGGGATGCTGCTCCTCCTGCAGGCTGCACAGCCCTGCTCTGTCCCCTCAGACATGCTGCTCCATCAGCCCTCAGCAGAGCTCCTGCTTGCAGCTCCTCCATCCGGGGCGCAGCGGCTGCTCCTCCGCGCGGCACGGCGCGGCGCGCGCTCCTCTGGGCGCCTGACGCCGCCCTCCATGCGGAGTCCCATCGGGATTGTTCCTCACTCGGCTCCGGTCAGAGCCGACATGTAGAGACCAGGCTCCGGAGCCGGAGGTCAGCGCAGCTTCAGCAGCTGCCGCAGCATCCCCGCGATGCGCAGGAACTTGTCCTTCTTCCGCTGCTTCAGCGCCATCAGGGCCCGGGCCGTCTCCTCCGGGTCCTGCGTGTAGGAGAAGATGCTCCGCACCCTCTCCTCCGCCTTCATGTCTCCGGTTTTCTGGAAGAGCCTCATCACGGCGTCCTGGTTCACGTTCTCGAAGATGTTGGCCGCGGCCTTCTTACGGTGCGCCGTGGCGAACTTGTTGCCGTGGACAGAGGGGCTGACCCGGCGGGACTCGGAGGACACGTAGGAAGACATCTGGACTCGTGGTGTTTGTGGACCGCAGCTCCAGCTGTGGTAGATAGAGGTCAGAGCCAGGATGGCCGCGATGATCAGCGATGGAGCGGATGAGAGTAGAGCTGTGGTCATCCGGTATTTATAGGCCCGCGGTGGGCGGAGCCTCCAGCGTGACGTCTGCTGTCGGGGAGCAGAAACCAGCGCCGCCTTGGAGGAGGAGGAGGAGGGGGGGATGGGGCCACTAGAAAAATAAAAGTTAACTGATTTTTGAATTTTATTTCTGTTTAATATGAGAAAAAAGTCAAAATTCTGACTTTTTTTCCCCTCAGAATCTCAGAATGTTAGCATCCAGCCGCAGCCATGTCTGTTTTAGAGACTAGCTCTCTAGTTTTAATCACCTTCTGTTCTTCCATTAATCAAACAGCATCACCAGGGACCCTTAGAGACGTAGAAAGTCGCCTAATTCCATCATTTTCCACCAATGTGTTCACATGTTTGTCAGTGAAGCTGAGTGCTCCACATCTCTGCCTTCATGGGGCCCATCTACATTAAGATCTACATTTCTCAGATTAAAGTCAGAATTTGAAAAAAGGTCAAATTCTGAGATTAAAGTCAGATTTCTGACTTTTGTTTCCTACGGAGCCCCTCTGATGACA